TCACAACCACAACCTCGACCAAAATCAAAGTGAAAACCTCAACCTCAACCTCAACCTCAACCATGCAAACCCCCAACGCCACGATGGCATCACCTACGAGCATAATGACCTCTTCCCCAATGCAAATACCACAAATCCATCTCACCCCCTCGAGCCGCACGCCAACACCCCCCCTCCTCCCCCCGCCTGCCCTCACTGTCCCCGAAGAACCCCCTTTCTCCTTTGAAGACACACCCCTCACGTCCAAGGGCGAACCGCTAGAATGGCACACCCGCACCAGCACTCCAGCGCCAAATACCCTGGCCCTCCTCCGCACCCCCCCCGTCTCATTCAGCACCCTCGCCTCCGCGCCCCAATCCCTCCGTCTCGAGGCAGCGAGGACCGAGCCATGGTCACTCCTTCTCATCAAACGCGTCACCATCTCGCGGGCCCGCGGCACCGATACACCCAGCGCCAGCGCGCCACCAAGCCCAGCACGAACCCCGTCTACGCTCTCCACAACCACCGACACTCTCCGGCCCAGCAAAGGGAAATGCCTTACACTCCACGGGCACATACTCACCAGTCTCGTGGGTGTAGCAGGGGATATGGAGCCGGAGATGTGGTTGCGGGAGGAAGAGGGTGAGGAGGTAAGTGCGGCGCGGGGAATGTGTATGCCTATTCCCATGTACTTTGCGACCGAGGTGGAAGGTGGAGGGTCGATGGACGTGCTCTGGCCGCCTGGGCCGCCGGTTGCGGATGTGGGGTGGTATGATTGGCCGCGGAGGCTTTGGAGTATTGGGAAAGGAGTGGATGTTGTACTCCCGTGCGGGGGCGAGGTGAGTTTTCTCTGGAAGGTTTAGGGACGAAGAGAGCCCTAGAATCTCCCAATGGGAGCAGTAGTGAACGGTGCTAACGGGAACAGTGGAAAACGATTGAGCCCGTTCTCCGCATTCCGCATCGCACGTTCGAGTTGCTGGCTGATTACAAGCCCGAGAGACATCATGCCCCGCCCAGGATGAAAGTGGTGAGAGGTTGGGAGGAGGAGTTGCCTACTGAGGCGCAGAATAAGACTGAGACGGAGGAGAAGTATGTACTGGATCCGTTTTCGACGGTTGGGGAGGAGGGCAAGGCGAGTGTGGCCACGAAGGCGGTTAATGGGAAGGCGGCGAAGAGGCCGAAGTTTGGGAGTCAGGGACGGACGAAGTCGCTGGGGAGCTTGCGGTCGAGTTTGCGGTCGAGTTTGAGATCGAGTATGGGATCTCTTTGATAAGGTGAACGGCGAGGCGTGGTCAGAACAGTCTAGACCTGGTGGATAATGATGAGGCGTGATACCACATGGTGGACAGCGGGATGGGATCTGATATGCGCTGCCATGAGGCTGGCCGAGAACGTGGGGGCTGATAGTGGTCAGCCGTGTCAGCATTCAATGTGGTGATTAGTCTCACTGCATATTAAATGCGATTGGCCTGCTGTTCATGTCTGTCAGGAACGAGGGAAATGGATTGCGGTGACTGGTAGCCTGCCTAAATTCCGGGATGTCGGATCCAACCGTACCGTAATCTTATGTACCGTGATGTCTCCTGAATCCTCGCACTCCTGCCAAATCCATAACGTGCGCTCCCGTGCGGATTATTCTTCGTGCTACTGTTGGGGTTACGTCGATTGGCGGCCCCCAACCAGGGAATGCCTCCCGCTGACTGGAGTCGTACAATAATTCCCCAGGCGTGTCGACGCCTTGTATCACAACATCATCATCATTTCCAAAAATTAGCATCGAAGCCTCAGCCTTTCGTTGCATACGAAGTATCTCATCTGTTCCTAAGCCATCATTCTTCCTTCCACCTACGAGTTCAGACCTTATCGGTCGTTCGCAGCGCCTCAACTCGGTGCCAGTCCGCCACAGCCTGACGGCCTGCCCAGCGTTACTCGTAGCCCAGCGGGGCGCGATTTAATGTCCGGGGATCTGGTCCGGCCGCGCTGGAGCATCGAGCGTAAGCGCCACCATATGCGCCACTGGCGATGGGGCTGGCGCGCGCGCGGAGAGTGGTCCGCTATTCGCGGGTAAATAGAGGTGCAGTGTCGATCTCGGAGTTGGGGATGGGGAAAAAAAAATCTACTGCGTAGATGACCGAGTTCCGGGGAGTGGGGAGGTTGGTGCGTTGCCGGTATGCACGATCGGTTACATGGTCGGTTAGTTGGTTGGGCGGTCAGCAGGGTGAAGTTTGGAGGGGTGGGGAGGGCGTGGGCAGCCTTGCGCTTACGGTGATCTCCCGTCGAAGCGCGATGCCTGGCTGAGGATGATGGGGTTGGGTAATCTACCGTACGAGGTGCGTTGCCAGATCAGACATGCATCCGCTGCGCAGGCTAGACGACGGCTCTCACTCGCATATTCAGAAACATCGCCAGACACCCCAAGACAGCCCAAGGCCCACTAGGACGGAGAACGACACAACGCTCTCCTCCTCCCAATTCGTCCAATCTAACTCTACTCTCCTACCGTACATCTTCCCACACCTCAGATATCACAAGCACCTCACCCCCAGCCCACTCATTCACCAGAGCCTTCCTACGTCACCCACACAAGTCCACAAATGCACCCCCCCCCCACCCTCCGCCCGGACCTCAGATCTCAGCAGCGCCGCGCCCCGATCGCGCGCCAATCGCGCCGCGCCAGACTCCCCATCCGTTCGCGTGGCGCCGAGCAGTCCCGCCCAGCCTGTCCGATCCTAGTTCTCTGCGGGCCGCTTTGGGATGCAGATCTCTTTAGGACAGACGCCGATTGGAGGGCGCTGACGAGCTGGGCGATGAGGGTTTGGGGAGGGCGAATCAGGGTGCGCGGTGGGAGGGAAGCAGGCAGGCAGGTTTACTACGGTAATGCGTAGGAGGGTATGGGTTTGGGCATGGATCTGCGGGTTTGGAAGCGTGTTGTGGGTGAGGCCGGGGGGAGGAAGATCGTTTATGTACATAATGCTTCCCCCAGATGGTGCGTGCGGGCGTTGTTCTCTGTTGTTCTTTGCCTTGCGCGTATCTTTAACGGCCTTCCGATTTCCGAGGAGCTGTGTCCGGTATTCATATGCCCTATTAATCCCTCTTCTAGCTTTTCTCACGCAGAGATCTTCACGATGCGTGAAGTCCCCCTCGAGGTGTTCCTCTCCTTCCCGCCGCCGAACTATGACAACCCGGTGACGCGCGGCGATGCGCTTACGATTACGCATGGCGTGTTCATGGGAATTGTGATCAGCGTCGTGGGCGTAAGGCTGTATACGCGTCTAGCGATCAATCGCCGCTTGGGGTGGGATGACATCTGGATTATTCCAGCGACGGTATGTCGAAGCCTTCCATAACGGGCAGCCTTACTGACAGACAGATCTTCACCGTCGCGCTCGCCGCGCTCGTCATCCTCTCGCACACGAAGTACAACTGGTGCGGGACACCCCCTTGAGGCTGAGCATCACTGATGTCTCAGGAACAAGCATATCTACGACGTGCCACCCTCCCAGATCCCGCAGCTGGGCAAGACGGCCATGGCAGCGAAGACACTCTTCACACTCGCCGCTGTGTTCACGCGCCAGAGCCTGCTCTCCTTCTACTACCGCCTCATCGGCGAGACGAGCCTTAAGCACTTCCGCAATGTGCTGCATGCGGCGACGGTGTTTAACGTCGTGACGGGGATTGTGTTTGTCGCGCTGTGTCTGTTTCCCTGCCGGTACGTTGCGTTGCCCCCTATCCCTATCCCTATCCCTATCCCCATCATCACCAGCAAGGTCAGACAGAAAGCGAGGGCCCAGCTAAACCCCCAATCCCCAGCCCTATCTCCGCATACTGGGACTTTCCCGCCCACGGCCACTGCCTCGACGACGGCAAAACCACCCTCGGCGCCGGCATCGTAAACTGCATCTGCGACCTGCTCACCACAACCCTCCCCATCCCCATCATCATGCAACTGCGCATGCCCCTCAAGCATCGCCTCGGCGTCGCCTTCCTGCTCAGCCTAGGCTTCATCGTCACGATCGCGGGGATCGTGCGCAGCTTCTACGTGTGGAAGAGCATGATGGCGAGCTATGACGAGACGTGGTACTCGTATCCGCTGTGGATTGCAGGGGTGGTTGAGATCGATCTCGCTGTGGTATGTACGCCCTGCTGATTGATGGTGCTTGACTGATGGTGGAGATCACGGCGTGTGTGCCTGGCCTGCGCCCCTTCCTGCTCGTGTACATCCGCCCGCTGTTCCGGCCCATCGAGCGCTTGACCAGCAAGGTGCACGGCAGCCTCAGCACCACCGGCTTGTCGACTACGTCGAGCAGTAAGCGGCACAGCAAGCGGCACAGCAAAGTCCCCGCCGGGCTGCCAGTGTACAACGCTCCCGCGCCGGCGCCGACGCCGACCCCGGAGCCTGCTGCGAAGCCGCTGGCTATCATGCGGAGGCAGAGCTTTGAGTTGACGGAGGGGGTGGTGGAGGAGGGGAGTCCGGATGCGCGGAGTGTGAATACGGTGTTGGAGGGCGCGGGGAAGAGGAGTTTGCTTGATTGGGTGCTGGGGAGGAGGGGGGGGGAGGAGAGACGGGGGAGTGAGAAGGATATTGTGGGGGGTGCGGCGCCGGTGGGGACGGGGGGGGTTATGAAGGAGTGGTAGGGGGCTGATGGATGGGAATGGGAATGGGATCTGGACGGCGTTGATTGGCATGGTTCGGCGTGCCTGGCACGGTTTTGGACGGTGTAGATGCGGAGTTGGGCTTCGGTTTTGGAGGGTACAGAAGAATGAGTTGGGAGTCTAATGAGGGTTTTCGCTGATGAGATGTCAGCCGGCTCAGGATATGGTAAGATGCGGTCAGATGTTGGATCGAGCCTTACGTAGTAGACATGATCCTTCTAATTCAGCGCAATATGCATTTAAGTCTAAAAGTCAGCCACCTTGTGTTCGACTCTTCGACATTCAAGAAGCCGGTTCCAGGCGCAATGGGTCCCATTGCCGTTTTTGGTACACATATACGTTTTAGGAACGAATCTCAGCACCAAGAAGCGTTGGTGGTTTAGTGGTAAAATCCGTCGTTGCCATGATCTGAAGCAATTCAGTTATGATTCGACGGGCCCCGGGTTCGATTCCCGGCCGACGCATGCGTATCTTCTTTTTGCCCCATCCTGAGCTGAAGATGCCGTCGGTGTTGATCAGCATCTGCCTTTCAAGTTGACAACCGATGGCTTTTTTTGGTCGTGGAATGCTGGTTATGGCCAACCGTTTGGGCAGGGATGATGAGTGATCAGGCTGGGATGGACTCTTTGAGCATTGAGCTTTTGCTTCTGAATGGAATGGGAAGTTCGCTCGCAGCCGAAAGGAGATGGAATCCGTTTCTCCAGCAATCAAGATGACGGCAGACGCTCGCGGAGGCGATGGAATGAGAGACTGATCGAGAGAAGCCCTCATTCTAGGCTTAATAAGATGGCCAGATACAGTATGGCCCGCAATCGACTCCCGTTTCAAGGATGATCGGATATGCGTGATATGAGTGCGGAGAAGAAGCCTTGCATGAGGCTCGATGCGCATGAAGGAAGGAAAGAATTATGACTTTTGCGTCAACAGATGGAATGAAAATGTGATAGGATAATCACAAGGGCCTTCATCGACGTGCTGGTCGAGAGTTGCACGTGGACCCGTGCCGCAATTTTCTAAGGCGAGAAAGACTAGGAGCTGATAGCGATGCTACGTCGCATCCTGTATCGCAGGCAGACGATGTGCATGGGAATATGTTAGAGGGTAGTGGCGAGCCTTTACCTTCTTGATGGACTGGAATATCTTCTGGCACTGGACCGCAGAAATGACATTTTTGTGCCTGATGCTACCAAATACGGAGCGGAGCGGACGACCTACCGTCTCGAACTGCTCCCTTCGCTGCGATCGCATCTGGGACCGAGCCCTGGTAAATGAGTTCTGGACGTCGAGAGCATCAAGTCATGCCATCGAGTGGTCGTTAGGAGACTCTGGACGACTCATTTGGTTGCTAACGAAATGATGACACATCGAAGGCCGACGACGCTTCGGTCGTTGTGACTGGGAACGCTGCGCGAGCTTAGCATTCACATGGTGCCCCGGCATGGCCCGACCCATCTGAGTTCTCACGATGCTTGGAGGTCGGTGACTTGACGGCGATGCGGCTGAAGTTGAGCGTCAAGAAGCGGTCGCCGTTTTTGCCTGACTGTCGACGGGAGGGCGATTCTGAGCTCGGTCTACAAAGCACGTTGTCGAAATATGAGGCCAACAAAGTAGGCAAGCCGGAAAGCTCGCCGATTACCCAATACGGGTTGGGCCAAGCAAATGGAGCCAATGATTCGGATTCTGACAGTAGTAGCTCGCTGCCTGTTTCGATGCCTTTGTTGATCTTGATATGTATCAAGTACTTGCTTTGACTCGGATGCAGAGAACAAATGCCTCAACAAGGCGTCTCTATAAACGGCTGGAACGGAAGAAGGCGATAGATGCTGAAATGAGCTGAGTGCTACACGGCGCTCGATATTCCCATTATCGTCAGACCGTCACGGAAGATGCGGCTGACGGGGGAGGACGGCTCATCTCTCGAGTCTTCCGTGTATTCCGATGGGATGAGAGAATGGTGACTGCTGCATGACGACGGGAGTGATATCTCCTTCATAGGAAGCGTAGACGTGTCGTTGCTGGCGCCAATGAAAAGCTGCTGACAATGAGACTGCCGGCCGGCTGGCATCTGCTGCGAGGCAAGTCTCAAGAGTCAAGCGTCCAAGACGCTGCGGGTCGCGCCTGATACATGGCGACAAAAAGAGAGGCAGAGACAGCAAAAGACAAAATTGAGTGTGCCGATGAAGGTACGGATGAATGTGAGACACGAACCAATGCAGTGTACTTGTGACGATGAGGGACCTGTAGCACAAGCTGGACAGGCTGGTTGAGGTATCGCAGCGTTACAAGGGAGGCCGCCGAGAGGAAGTGGAGGGCTGCTGTGTGGTGCGGAGACGCAAGGTTGCTCCTCCGACCAAAGCGGCACCAGTGCACCAGCGTCCAATGCACTATCACCACCACCTCTCCTCCTAGCTGATGAAAGAGCTCAGGACCCATTCCATCGTCCATTTCTCCCTTCCCCATTCGATCCTAAGCTGTCCCTTCGATTGCTTTCTCCGCAGAAATCCGCGTTGATTGTCTGCGCTGCAATAATCTCCCTCTGTTCCCCCAGTCACCCGCGAAGAACAGCCCACCAACCAACCTCCCCCCCCTCACCTCTCTACTATCCTCAACTCTTCCTTGTTCGGCGCCCACGATCACCAATCCCCCTCATACAGGTCTTTACAACCCTTCTAAGCAGCAAAACCGTCCGCGTGGGCAGCCATGAAGGCGGCTCCACTCCTTGTGCAATGGCACAACGAAGGCACGCCGATATTCTCAGCGCACTTCGAACCTCACGGCAAGGGTCGTTTGGCAACGGCCGGTGGCGACAGCAATGTTCGAGTACGTCGAGTCCGAGACTCGAGATGACAGCTGATGACGGCGACAGATCTGGAAGATTGACCCTCATGGCGAGGACCGCAAGGTCACATACCTGTCGACGCTCGTTCGGCATTCACAGACTGTTAATGTCGTCCGTTGGTGTCCTCGAGGTGCGTTCTTCGGATCGTGGTGATTTGTCGCTGACTTTCTAGGCGAAATGATTGCGAGTGCTGGAGACGACGGCAATGTCCTGCTCTGGGTGCCCGCTGAGCACCACGAACACGCGGCGTTCGGTGAAGACGGTACGGAAGACAAGGAGACGTGGCGGGTAAAGCATATGTGCCGTTCGATGGGAACTGAGATTTATGATCTTGCGTGGTCTCCTGATGGCCAGTTCTTCATCACCGGCAGCATGGACAATATTGCCAAAATCTACAATGCTCAGACCGGTAGGGGCGCAAGGTGTCGTTTGGTTCTTTCGGATGATGTCTGACTTTCATCAGGGAGCTGTGTCCGGCAAATCGCTGAGCACAACCACTTCGTCCAAGGTGTCGCTTGGGATCCGTTAAACGAGTACATTGCGACTCAGTCATCCGATCGCTCCGTCCATATCTACACTCTCAAGACCAAAGAGGGACATTTCTCTCTGGCCCAGCACAACAAGGTATCGCGGATGGACATCCCTACGCGGCGGATATCATCAAGCAGCCCGGCGCCGCCAGACTTCAGCGGCCGTGCATCGTTCATTGCTGATCCCACATCTCACAGCATCGGGTCGCCCGTGCCATCTGCTCCGGGTACTCCGCAGAGCCTTGCGTTGCCAATGAACCCTCCGCCGACGTCGCACTCTCGTCGGTCGTCCTTCGGCTCTTCGCGTCGGTCCGTGTCTCCCGCGCCTTCGCTGCCGCTCCCTGCAGTGATGCCATCGTCACCGAATCCGTATGCTGCATTGCACCTCAAGAACGAGCGCATCTATGCCGGCGAAGATACCTTCTCATCCTTCTTCCGTCGTCTGACGTTCACGCCCGAAGGTAGCCTGCTGTTCACGCCTGCCGGACAGTACCGCGCGCCCCAGGGGTGTGCGTCCAAGGATGAGATTGTCAACACAGTCTACATTTATACGCGCTCTGGACTCAACAAGCCGCCAATTGCGTTCTTGCCCGGACACAAGAAGCCATCGGTCGCGGTTAGATGCTCACCGATCTTCTATACTCACCGCGCCGCGGTTCCGACGAAGCACATCACAATCGACACCTCTGCTCCGGACGTGGAGATCTCTTCGCTCTCGGAGCCGGCCATGCAGGCGAAGCCACAGCCTTCGGCGATGGAGCCGCCGCCTCTGAGCGCCCCATCGCCCGCTGCGAGCATCGCAGCTGCGTCTCCCAAGCCGGAGGCCGATGGCGCAACGACCCCTGCTACACCTCCCGCCGCCTTTGGTCTAGCGTACCGCATGGTGTATGCCGTTGCTACCATGGATGCGGTCCATGTGTATGACACGCAGCAGCAGAAGCCGCTGTGCGTCGTCAGCAACCTCCACTACGCGAACTTTACTGATCTCACCTGGTATGTGCTTTTCCTGTCCCTAGGACTTAGCTAATGATCCAGGTCCAATGATGGCCTCACGCTGCTCATGAGCTCTTCAGACGGTTTCTGCTCTGCTCTCGCCTTTGCGCCTGGTGAATTGGGGCAGGTTCATCACGGACCGATCCCGACGCGTCAGCAGCCTGGTGCCATCAACACGACCGTTAGCTCGCAGGCGACGACACCCAATGCTACTCCTGTTGCAGCAAACCCTCCGCAGCTTACCAAGCAGCCGTCCGCTAGCTTCCCGGCCTCCCCGTCCAAGTTCGCGCCCGTCCGTCCTGTCAGCCCAGCGCGAAGCATGTCCAACAGCTCGGCAGCATCTTCATTCCCCCCAGATTCCGTAATCCACGGTAATGTGCTGATGCACTCGACGCCATCGATGCAGTCGGTCCCTGGAGTTGCGGCTGCCCACTCGGCCCCGGTCCCTGGCAACGTCCCGTTGTGGACGCCGCCCGAGACGCCCATGTTCAGTGCTGGTGCGAGCACCGGTGCGCCGCGTACGCACTCTGCCAGCTCGTCCGTCAGCGGAATCACTGGGTTGACTCCCGCTGCGCCCAAGGCCGCTGACGACGCGAAGGATACCGACAAGAAGCGCGCTAATGAGGACGGCGAGGAGCAAGCCGGCAAGCGGCGGCGGGTCGCTCCTACCCCTGTGGAGGACAAGGCTTGATTGTGTTTTTTCAGCGGCGTTTTATAACTGGACACGGAGTTAGGAACAGCGGATGGGCGCGGGACATGCTTTGGAGTTTCACTTGCGGATGCTCTTGGAGCTTGTATACCTTTGGCGACTTTCCGGTGGGCTTGGACGGCTGTTTGCTGTCTGTTTGTGTAGGATAGTAGTCGATAGTATAGGCCTTAGGCAGCGGTTATCGTGCTGATAACTGGAACGATTTATTTGCCCTTTTGTGCAACTTAGACCCAAGGGCTGAGCGAAAAAGTCATGAGCGGCCCCTCTTGGTGAACTGTCCGTATAGCTAAGCAAAAGCCGGTGGTGGGGCGCTCATGACTTCTTCGCTCAGCCATTGCTCTTCAACACTCAGCAACAACTTATACCGTATGGAGCGTTCGTCCGTGCGCTGTA